AAAAAACAAATACGTCATGTAAAAAACGTCAAAACCTTGACGGCCAGCAAGTTACGACCTTCGTACGATTTGCCAAGAGTCTTCAATTTCGCTATATCTTTATTAGCGAATGCTAGTTTCATGATCAAGCGATTGATCTGCACATTTGAGGAATATTTAAGTAGTAACGAATGCTATTCCTGACTATTAACTTCGATTTACCACTGGACCGCTCTGATACTGTTTGAACATGAACTTCGCATTTGGAAGTGTGGTGTGTCGGTTTACAACGGAGTTGCCTGGTTTTTCATCGTACCAATTCCTAAACAAATGCCTTAAGAATTCCATCATACAAATTACTTTTATCACTGAGTTAATCACACGAGTGGACGAGGGCCGTGATCTTGTAAATGATCGGTAAATTAAAATAACTTTAAAAATTAGCATGTATTTCTTGAATGACTTTGATGCATATGCTAAAAATGAGTAAAACTTATGATTCATTTATCAATTCAGACTGTCCTGTTACAGTTACTGCCAGGCACTCCGCAACTGACTCATTTTAATTATGAATCTAAATTGAGACAGGTCTCAACTTAAGTAAGAGTTACGTTTCGAAACTATTGCGTGGCATTAACTTTATGCAAGTTATATTTAACCCACTCCATCCGTTAATGACACCTTGCTGCTTGCGCTTTAAAGTACGTATATAGAGAAGTGCGTATAAAGGTTACTCCGGTTAGCATCATTTACAGGATGCGAATTCATTATGCAATTAATCATGCAAAGTAGTGTGACTCAGTATAATTGGTAGGAGAAAATAAAAAATAAAAGATTTTTATTTCAGCCTTTCTATTTTCCGCATTAAATTATCAAGACATCACCGGTGACTGGTTGCTTTTATCTCATCCTAAATCATTCGATGACAGGCTAAAGTACTGTCTATCTCTCTTTGTGGTTCTAAACGGCCATGAGGCATTAGGATCAATTTTCTCTAATGACGTCATCTCTGATGAAATCTCGTAGAACACGACTGTTATACCTTTCGTCACTAAGCGTTTCGGTCCCTGTTCTGGTTCCAAATCCTCATTTCAAACACTTTTCCTGCTAATAATTCAACGAACTTTTCACTTAGCAATTCATGCCCATGTGAGTGCATCAGTTCTTCGATATGATTTTCATCAACTTATAACCTCAGTCGTCCGGCATGCTTTAGCATTCTGATGCAATGCATAAGGAAGAGGGCTGTTGGGTGGGGTGAGAATAACGTAGGCGCGTTGAGTAGCATTTCATGACTCTGTACGTTTTCCGTAACTCTTTCAGATCAATTTGCGTAGGTCTGAACTTACGCTAGTCGAATTTACATAAACCGCGGGATGTCTGCATAACTATTCCACATAATCTCGTTTGCGTCTCCGCATGGAGAGTAGGTGCGCATGCCATGTGCAAGTAACATCGAGTCTGTGCCTTGAATTATGACGGTGCACAAGAGAGTCTACTTGGAACTGCTGAACTTGGAAATAATCCGCTGACGAGATCCCAGGTATCATATGTATGTAGAGGTCATAATGACGTATAATACAGTTCCTATTAGGAGATTAACATTCAACTGACAAGCTTAGAATGGAGACCTTAGTGTGTTATAGTTATTAAATCGTTAGACAGCAAGGTCAAGATTTCGTATCACGCCGTATACCCTGTTAGGGGAAGATGAAGACTCCTAAATATTACCTACCTGAATGGAGAATGACATTTGGTATTGATACCTAATCTTAATCATCATACTCTTAATTTCTTGCGAATCGCATAGGAGCTGCTCCAACAGGACGCCTTTCTACTTGACCCGATTTTTAGCCAAAAGAGCACGCTCAATGGTACAGATTCTCAAGTGCGACAATGTCAGATCCTCATACGGTAATTGTGCCCGTCATTCCGTGGTACACGGAGGAACCGTTCGGCATGTGGCACTGTGAACTGAACGGGTCTTACGAGTCGATCCTCTAGCATCCTCTTCATATCTCTTAGCCAATATACTGCTGATCGCCGGTACATCGAACGTCGCAAATGCCGTCTCATTGGGCGACCGTTCAAAGAGGCCCACTGTTATGCTGTAACTACGCAATTATGTTAAACAGATGCACGTAGAACAGCGATTGGCCATTTTGCGAACGTATTAAATTCATCTGTGCGGTGTCTGCCTAAGATTCAAAAACGTGGATGCTTTCTGACTTTAAACGACAGATTCGTCGCGTTGGGCAACTATCACCATTAAAGTGAAGGGAACCCTTTTAGGTTTTTTTCGCTTTCGATCATATCCATGTTGACACAGCTGCAGTGGATCAGACATCCCATCTTAATCTGTGCTTTGTTTGATGATCGTCGATCTACCATTTCCACACTGGATGTGAGAAGGCGGCGCCTGGAGGCGATGAGTCAGACATGGCAGCATCAAAAGTGAGCATCTAGCGCCTACTGTAGTAGTCTGGCGTTGATGTGGAAGATTCTTTAAGTTTCGATATCCTGGATGGTAATAATACGTTCCTAGAGAATGTTGTCCATTTACATTTTGCATTCTTGCATTTGCATACAACTCTCTACTTCTACACTAACGCGTCGTTATGGTCGTATGAATGATAAAGGAAAGAAAAGGAAGCTTGTAGCCGTTAGCTTGTCAGTTTCCCTTA